TATTGGGTACTGATGCTGGCTTGATCAGGAATTCTAAGCTTTAGACTTCAGAAGTAACAAATTCCAAAAGGAAGACATTTCAAATACATATTACTATGCAAGGAGTATATCAGGATAAAAAATAGCCTGTTTGGCAACTTAAAAAGTGCCTTCAAAAACCAGACACAAATAATTGATTGTACTGGAGAAAACTCTGTTTTGGAGCAGTCGAATAAGACAAAATGGGAAAGAAACAACACTGACACAGTTGGTGCAATTCAAGACCTGGGTCTACTTGAAATTTACAAAGGTTTACTTACATGGTGTATTTCACAACTATTGACTGTTTTCTCTCTATAGTCGCTGTCAGATTTGCTGAATTTCTCCAGCAATTTCTGTTGTTGTTTCACTATTGCAGTAATAGGAGACACAGTAGCCAATTTTCCCACAGCAATCTTGACACAAACTTCAGCATGAATGAACTGATATAGATTAACAAATATAAAAAACGAAAGTCTTCAGAAGTCTCTAAAAGTAACACCACAAAAATTGAATGGCCATTTGTGTACTGCTTTTGCCCAAACATACCACTGTTACTTTAAAAAGAAATATTTAACACTCAGTATGCCTTTTTTACTCACCCCAAATCAAAAGAGTTGGAACCATTCAAATTGGTTGGAGGATTTCCACATTTTAGTCACAAGAGAGTAAAATCATGTGTATGGTAGTTTAGAAAGAATAGCAGCAGTTAGTTGTGCAATTCACAATTTATTTACTGAAGGAGAAGATTAGGACAAAACATCAAACCAAATACAATACAAACACCAGAGGCAGTAAAACCCACCATGCAGTCTCCTCTGTTCCCCTTCCACTTTACATTGAAACAAAAGACAAGTAGTCCTTCTCAACATAGCACCATCCACAGAGTGAATATAAATTCACTCCCTTTTTTTTCGTGATTTTTGAGAAATTTTAAATTAAAACTTGGCAGATCAGCTGCAGCTTTCCTCACATCCCCACCCCACCCACCCCATGAGAACTTTTAACTAACCATCCTCTTTTTTGTGTTCTGAATTGGCATATATAAGCTCTCCTGAAACGCAGGCAATAGCATCCATAAGCCAAATAGGTCAAGTAGCTGTACGTACATGCAACAGACTATAAAAGCACAAATTCAAGTTAACAAGATACGTACTACAGAGTCCACATATACCTACCCAAGAACATGACCATTTCACAGAACTGGTACAGGCAGTAATCAAACAATCAAAGTACTGGAGACAACACAGGAAAAAAAAAGGTATGCAAGGTAAGAAATTTCTAATACATAGCAACTTGAAAGCAGAGAAAGTAATTTGACAAGTTAAAATTAAAAGCTATAACTTATTCAGGGTTTGAGATACACACTGTACCCAGATTTGTCTGTGCTCAATCATTTTACAAATAGAATCCATAAAATGTGCTTGTATTGAATAGAATTCTTCATTAAAAAGTCACATTTATGCTTTATTTAATCAAGGGCAATAAAACCATGAGACAATTACTAAACTATTATTCAAATTACTTTGCTGAACCAGAAAACCGAGTTTAATCTAGATGCATAATGCCTTCACAACTAATTCAAAAGGAAGTTGTGCAAATGAACAACTAGTGCTTTATGCATGCAATTAAACTACACCAAGGTCAATATAAAAGGGAACCTACAAAACAAGTGGGTTCAAAACAATGGCAGATATTCATGGTCGGTCAGTCCAGGCACCAAAAATCTTTTCAGACACTAGGTAGGTGCCTGGTGGAAGCACAATTTTCGAAAGTACTAAGAAAAAAAATAGGAACAATTGCCACTTGTTCCTGTTATTTTCAGGCCAGTTAATTTAAATGCAAAAGGTATATTTTATTTTAAAAAAACTGCATTGTCAGGAACAGACTGACTAGTCCAAGCCATGAAACAGAACTTCAAAACAGAACTAACCATTTTGTCGGTCAGTTGTGTGCTAGCTCAAAGCTCATTTATATTGCAATATTACTTAATTAAGAGTGCTTACCATTTATGCAAGTATGTTGTTTAAGTCTTACACATGTAAAAAGTCCTGTGTTGGTTTGATTAAATATACAAGCGCACAAATATTGCAAAGTTTACTTGTTCGCCAACTCAACAGATCAGAGCTGAAAGTAGCTAGATGTATTCACAAAGTCTTTCTTTCAAAAACAAGAAGCTGTTACTGCATATTTATATCACTGACAGTATATGTTGTTGTTACCGTTTCAGCAAGAATGCACACACTTTTTTAAAAAAAAGAAATAATTTAATTGGTTTCAAGAAGACGAAGTAAAAAAAAAATCCGGGAAATGATAGTTTAAACTTAGTTGCCATACCATTTACAGCACCAATGGCTGTTGTTACCTAGCAGCAATGGAGACAGGACCAATGAGCAGGGAAAAACAAAGGGGGTAAAATGTAAAATATATCTTAACACTGTTGTAGAATACTCAAGTCCAAAATAAACGCACTACCAAACCTGCAAAGATTGTACTAATGGTAATATTGGTCAACACATATTTTCTTTGTATTAGTACAATGGTTCCAGTAGATATATTTCAAACCCTGAATGTTTGCCAATAAGGGGTTCCCTTCCAGTGAAATTACGTGATATTTCATTTCAATAGCTCCTGCCAACCTGCACTGAAGTACTGTACACGCAACAGATGAGTTATTCCCTCTTAGGGAACAGAGCACTAAAATGCTCTGCTTCTGACAATATTTAGTTTATTCAGTAGGAAAAAAATTACACAAGATAATGAAAGTAGCTACATATAAACACAAGCATTTCCTTTAGCACCCGCATTTTATGTCGGTGTGTGCGCACCTAATTTTTTTTTTAATGAAACACATTGAATAAAATGTTAAAACATCGGAAACAAATTTAGAAGACTCTTATAGGATTGTACGTTCCCTGAATAATGAGAGAAGGAAAATAATTAACAGTGCGATGCCAATGTGTTACATTGTGTCAAGGCTAATTAAGTTTCTATTTGTGATTTGTAACCATCATAAAATGAGTGATGAACTGCACGGTTATGTGTGCAGTATTCAGCCCTCTCCGTGGCTCCATGAGATGAGAAGCTGCAACATTTTACACTGCCTTTTCCTCCCAAATCAATCTAACTTGACAGCAGAACCACCCAGTTTGTTGTGCTACATGTCAACCCTTAAACGTCCCACTCTTCTCAGTCACGTTAAGTCACTGTACATCTGCACCATTTTTGCTTCCAAGCTAGGTCGATTCGAGGTACCATTTATCAGTTCTGGAAGGACTCCACGTGGTGGGTACCAGCTGTTAATATCTTCTCGACAACACCCAAACTGTGAGCAAACTCAGTTAAAAAATGGGTCCAAGTCAACATCCATATTCACATCAGGTACCAACTGATCAGCTACTTCTTTATCATTAGCACCATATCCGGAACTAGAAGCTGCAAAATCAGAGGCAAACCAGGGATGGTCCAAGATTTCCCGGGACGTCAGCCTTTCCAAAGGCTCACGACGCAAAATGCTACGAATAAGGCATTTAGCCCGTGGGGAAAGAGTTTCTGGAATGTTAAACTGGCCACGCCGAATCTTGCTGAAGAGTGAGCTTGGTTCTACATCATGGAAGGGATACCGTCCAACCAGCATCGTGTACAGCATTACACCAAGACTCCAAACATCAGCTGCCTTACCAGAGTAGCTGCCATTGGTGTTAAGGATCTCAGGGCTCACATAAGCTGGACACCCATGCTTGTCAGAGAGTGCATCAACTTCGCCATTCAAGATATATGCATCTTCCAAACTTTCCAACTTCACTTGGGTCCTACAAAATGCAAAAAATAAAAAGTCACATCCTGTCAAGCAAATGTGTTCTGAAATTCAAAGGAACTGCCAATACACAAAACTTTGCAAAAATTACCAATGACTTTAACAATAGGCTGGAATATTTACACACTGTAATGAATGGGTGTAAAAAGTAAATCCTGAATATGCTAGACTTGATATTTCTGCACTTCACATTAACACAGCTACTGTCAGACATTATCCAATTTATAGTCGACTAGATATACACAGCTTTTAGTAAAATAGAAGTGGAAGAATCAAAAACCAATACTAGTCTGTCCTAAGACCAAGGGACATCCACTATTAGAGTAGCGAGAACTGAAATTTGTCCATGCCTGGTATGGACGGAAGGTCTTATGAGGAAAGGCTGAGGGACTTGAGGCTGTTTTCATTAGAGAGAAGAAGGTTAAGAGGCGACTTAATAGAGACATATAAGATGATCAGAGGATTAGATAGGGTGGACAGTGAGAGCCTTTTTCCTCGGATGGTAGTGGCTAGCACAAGGGGACATAGCATTAAATTGAGGGGTGATAGATATAGGACAGATGTCAGAGGTAGGTTCTTTACTCAGAGAGTAGTAAGGGCGTGGAATGCCCTGCCTGCAACAGTAGTAGACTCGCCAACTTTAAGGGCATTTAAATGGTCACTGGATAAACATATGGATGATAATGGAATAGTTTAGGTTAGATGGGCTTCAGATTGGTTTCACAGGTTGGCGCAACGTCGAGGGCCGAAGGGCCTGTATTGCGCTGTAATGTTCTATGTTCTATCCCACTTTCAAAAGCTATGGGCTGAACAACAGGGCTTTTAACCATAAAAGCCATGAAATGGAAATTCAGTGACAATAAATGTTCCTTCTGGCTCCTGATATATCCAATTCCAAATTTCAAGATAAGTCACAGACTTCCTCCTCCCCTCCAGCACAAAATTCAGCCTCAGGAATAGAAAGAAGAAAATGGATCAAAAAAATGTTTTTCAATGCTTACAACACACCACACAATTATGCAGTGTTATACCAACAGGTACAGCCTATCTCTTTTCATTTTCACAAAGAAAAACACTGGTATAACAACATAACTTTGAACAAAATTCAATATTTAAACAAAATTCATAAGCAAATAATCAATTCTGAAGAGAACACTACCTTACATGGATTACTACAGAATCTTCCATGTATTACAAGTTCAGCTCAAAAGTTAACAAGTACAAAACTTGGTATCAAAAAGTCAAAAGACAAATTAAATGTCCTCGTTACTCATGGAATTATACAGATGCTTCAGTTTATAATTCAATATTTCCTGTATTTCACCCCTTTAACTGTGCAAGGTTCCAATAATTTATAGCATTAGGCTGTGCATTCCTGACCCTATTCATTTACTCTGTTAAAAAAGGCTTGGCTCACGTCTCAATTTCTTTTCTGTCAATTACTGCATTTTAAACCAGTTCCTTCCGCCAACAGGAACAGTTTCTTCCTATGTACTTTGTTCAGGCCTCTCGTGATTTTAAATACCCTCCGTCACTGTCATGTCAACCTGATCTTCAGTCCTGACTTTTCCAACATAATTGAAATTCCTCATCCCTAGGACCATTCTCATAAATCTGTTCTGCATCCTTTCTAATGCCTTCACATCCTTTCTAAACGATGCTCAGAACTGGATGCTTTCCTTTAGTTGAGGCCAAAATACAGACTTACCTAGGTTTAACATAGTACAAAAGCTAAGAACCTATGCTCCTAATGATAAAACCAAAAGATGCAATATGCTTTATCAACAGGCCTCAGTCTGTCCTGCCACCTTTAAATGATATCTGCAACAAAAAAACATCCAGCTACCTTTGCTCCTAGATCTCCTTTTCAAAATAAAGGGTACAATTCTACTATGTTATTCCTATCAAAATAAATCACTTCATGTTCCATTAAAAAAAATGGAAGTTCCACAACGTCTGATATGGTGTATGCTAGGCCAACACAAAATTTGTTCAGAACCATTGAAGAACAGCATTTAAATATTCAAAATAATATTTCATGCATTTTGGAGTGCCAACTTTGTTTGTTTCCATAGTGATACTGTGCATGAGATTATGGATGAAATTCAAAGCACCGGCTGTCACAGAATGAGCTCTTTGATATATCAGTTCCTAGAATATTAAAGCATGGACACATTCTGTTGTCACTCTCACATGCCCAATTTACATGAATCAAAGGAAAGCATAGAGAAGATATACCAAAAACAACCATGCAATAAAGAGTTTTTTAAAAAGTAATACAATATAGAAATATTGCCTGAGCATAAATGCTAACAATGGGATTGCTTATTGAAGCAGAGTATATTAACAAAATAGATGTTGCTGTAATTTGCTCCCAAACAGCAATCTACTCTGAATGGAGCAGACTCCCACATTAATGACAGCTCTCTGCAAGTACAAAGTGTTACAAATAAACAAAGCATTATTCAATCATATAATTCAAAACACCACTACACAACTAAATAAAATAAAATTGCAATTGCACAACTTGGAAAGGAATGTGACAATTTATTTTGTTATCTGAACGCAGTCTGCTCCTTGTTGCAACACTTCATTTGGAAATCATTATAGCTCAGCTAGTACCCTGGTTAAATGCACATTCAGCTCTTGCACAGCAATGGACAAGTGGGAGGAAGGCTTAATGAATTCTGCCTCAGGTTAAATATTTTTAACCATTAAAAACAAACTCTGCTATTTTATAAAATTACACGTGTTTATCACAGCTTCAGTCTTTCAGAGATCATATCGTAACCGTGGAATACAGCTACATGCCCATGCATGAAGCGTTCCGTTTCCAGATGTTCAACCTCTGGTCTCCAACAGATTAATTCAGAAATTAACATCATCAAGCTGGATTTTCTACGGAGAAAAAGGACAAAGTAAAAGGCCCACAGGATCAGTATTCCAGGGTCACTGTTGGAAAAAAGTGCATGTGTGGAAGCGGGATCCGGGTTATTATAATATTCCTCATTGACTCCATCATTTAGAGTCATGCAGAAACAGCACCTTGCTCAGTGACCAAAGTTGCAAAGCACCAGAAACTAAATCAAAATGAATCACCACACTCAAAAGTTGAAGAGGAACAAAATAAGTTAGAAAATTGGTCACTTACAGAGCAGTGAAGTAGTCTTGGCAAAAAAAAATGGAACATCTATTCAGGAGACACCCAAACGGTGCAAAATGAAGCCTTAACTGTCAGGGAAGTAAGTCTATTCTCAGAATTTTCAAATACAACTTAAAGCCCGTTACTGCTGCTCAAAACGGGGTTGGCTGAGAAACAGTATAGTTACCCATCACCCCTTCAATATATAAAAAGAAACCTTAAACTATTGCACTGAAGCAGTTCAGAAACTTCTGCAATCTAGATCATACCAGCTAATGGGGGCAATTCATTGACAAACATTTTTAAAAGAAAAGTGAAGTACAATTAGCATAACACCAAACACGAATGTTTGAAGCTTACTGAAGCTTTGAAATCCAGTTTTCAAAAAAGCTGTTGCAGTCAGCAGGGATTAGACATTGATATTTGGAAAAATGGTTTTAATAACCGCAACATTCATTATTTTATTTTTAAACTTCAAGATTAACACTGAATTTCTAGAAAATGACTTCAGCTTGCAGCAACGCAACTAGGGAAGATAATACTGATTACCATATAACTATGCCAGAATTTGGAGACATCCTCTGTTGACACATCTTATCCAGCCTAAGACTAGGCAGAGGTAGGTGAGAGTCACTTAAGTACACCACGAATAGGCACTACACCATCTAGAGAATCACCTGCTCCCAGCTACTAGAAATTCAGCACCATCTACATTGTTGTCGCAAGGCAACACAATTCAGGATGTGTCAAATAATCAAAGATGCAAGATACCCCAATGAATTAACAATTAGCACACTATTTCCACATATATATCACATACCTAGTGATGGCCAAATCTATAATTAGTGACAACTTAATGCTCAGAATACACCATTGTCAACCTATACTGCATTATAGTTTTGAATATTTTACTTTGATTCACACTATGATTGTTGTTAATCTGATACTTCATTCACAAAATCTAAAAAAGTACATTTTTTCTAGATATCAATGCTTAAAAAAAATTTTAAAAAAAGGTACACGGTATAAAGTTTGGTGAATTGGTTCAAGCCCTAGAAAGGAATACTTCATTCATTCATTCATTCATTCATTCATTCATTCATTCAGGAATATTTCTCATGGCTCTGGTTAGAAAGATTCCCACACTCATTTTAACCAGTTCCATTCTGTGGCAACATATCACAAAAAGAATTCTGAAAACTTTTGGTCAGCCAGCTTATGTGAAAAGATTTTCCCATGACAGTCATTTAAAAATTACAGAAAAAGCAATGCAACGGGACAGACATTTAACTAATAAAAGCTTACAGCAAAATGTAACCATGGATATCTGAATTACCAAAGTAAACAGGGACTGTACTGTAACCAGAGCAAGAAACATTTTTGAACTGAGACAGCCAAATTACCCTGATTCATATTTTACCGCTGGGAGCTTGTGTTTTTTTAAGATATATAGAATTAATACAATATTTCCTGTGCTTGACATATTAAGCAATTTGAATGCTTTTTTGAAATTTTCATTCTGACAAAAGAAAATTTTTCACATCCAGAAGTATTATCCATACAGATTTCACTTTCAACACTAGATTCCACAAGCTAATTTAACGTCTCAAGTGACCTAACAAACCATTAATTGAAATAATGACTAATTTATTATGCAAGCAAATGATTAGTTAATTTGTTGCACACAAAGTAAATTATCAGCTCACACCAGAAACAAATCTGAACCTCAGTACGATACCTGCACGTAGGAACAATACCCCTTTTAACCAATATAAACAAAGAACCAGCAAATAGTGAGCTTTGCCACCAATTTCCATTTCCCATTCAAATGAGGGATTAGCGAACACTAAAACACTTGTGCAGACATTAGCCAGCAATGTATGTTACTTGTAATATATTTGTTCTCATGCACCCATTTATAGAGTAGGATTTGCAGTACATTAACAATGTAGGTTATCAAATATTAGGTGATAAGTGCTTTTTAGAACAGGAATTTCCAACTGACCACTGACAAAAGATTAGTGCAAAACAGAAACATCCTACCAAGGTGGCATAATTTAAAAAGGGAACTCGCTCTCAAATTTGGATTTATTAAAAACCATTTTTGTAATTTTTCTGGTTCAACATGATTAATTTGAAACCTGTTGGATGGGTTTTCAACTGAAGCTTAAAACTTTTATTGGCTGCAGCAGTTAAAGTAACTATAACGAGGCAACTTCCCCTTCCACATTCACAGTCTGAGTCACTCTGGTCTCCTGTTTTTCTCATCTTGTCCAGACCTAGATGGCTGTGGATAAGGGTATGCAGCACCTGCCAGTATACAAAGTCTTCCTATGAACCGTGTGCACCACAGGGATTGGAGTGTTTGATCGTTTGGTAACAAGATAAAAGAGTACTTTCATTGTATGATTCAATTCTCTATTAGCTGAGCTCCATTTAAAAAAAAGTGAACCTTTGTTTGATGACACTGGGAGCAAACCCGTGTTACCTTATCCATAAATTAGGTCAAAGTCAATCACTTGTAGCTTCCACTCAGGCAGTCTTCAAAGGGCACGTGGAGAAAGCAATGACAATTTTTGTTTTGCAAAACAAAAAAGCAAAATAAACCTCTCCAGATTGTTGCTAAACAGCTGTCTAGGTAGCAGAGAGGAAACTACGTGTGTGTCAATGCCTTCCCACTGCTGTGTGAATGAGACCACTGAGCAACCCGCCGGAAACACGCTTCTGTCGCCATAGAGACTTGGGGAACCTGCCACTCGGGTAAGCCTCACCTCACTCAGCCCACATCTCAAAAGAGCTAAATGCAATGCTGCAGTTTCTAGGTTAGCAGCTGCACAGAGCAACTGTCCGCTTTGGCAGCGAGCTGCAGACTGCAGGCCGAGGAACCACGACGTGCAGGAGCTGTTTTCAAAGTGCACACAACAAGCCAGATTATCCCCATACCGATCTTATCGAGGCAACTTTGAAAAACAAAACATGCAATTTGCAACATAAGACGTGTCCGTCGAAAGCACGACACCACTGTATATTGCAAACGAGCAGCTCTTTCTCCGGCAGTGCGGAGTGGAGTTAACGTTAAAGTGATGGCTCTTGCAGTGGTCCTGAGGCTACACTGTACACACATGGATCAGTGCACACACAAGTGCTGAAATGTACAATGGGGGCATCCCATTCCTCATTTACAATACATTGCGACCTTCCCAGTTGAAACGCACTGCTCTTCCCACACATGTATTCCAACTACCAGTATTCACTGTAGTTACACTGTTGCTCATTTTCAGCAATATACATTTTGTAAGCTCACCCAAATCTCCCCAAACGAATCCAAACACCACTCTTCAATACACAAGTAAGTGGCTCCACATTTGTATAATTCATGGGAGACATAGGTAACTCACTAATCAGATACAACATACAGGCAATGCCTTACTGTACTGGATGCTACAGACTGTTTAAAGGGAACAAGGACAACAGCGGACACATGTTCAATTAAACTATTTTATTTTCAAAGTGGGCAGATATTTAGCCCAGGTTCGGGAATGGGTGATATCAAACCTGAAATCCAGTTCACTGGCACTACAGAAGCACGTGGTTAACCCGATCGGTTCTTCTGCACCAAATCTGTTAAAGCTATAAAGGCAGACTCCTTCCGTTACTGTACTCTGCAAGACAGTTTCTGACCTCGGGTTCACTACGTGGGAAGAACACAGAATCTTGTAACACAGCAGCCCTTCCATGTCAGCAACGTCAGTGGTTGTGATGGTCCCTAACCTGACCAACATGCTAAGGGCCAGGGAGCACAGAGCTGAAACTACGGTGTTCTTTCACATTTGAGGCAGCTGGGGTGGGAGCTGATGCAATAAATAATTCCATATCACTATTGATTACTTACCTCCTCCCCAGCCCCGAAGAATAAAAGAATCTAACATTCAATTGAACAAATCCTGCTCATTTGATAGAAATCTAATGAGACCCACTCACAGGACAAAAAGGATAAGTCAACTTTAAAATAAGTTGTAGGATATTTGGTTATGGGAGAGATTTCAGACTCCGAAGCCTCTATCTAAACAGAAACCAACAGCATCATAACCAGTTACTTTATTTACCAGTTCATATAACGTCATTGACAAAACAGATCATTGGAGTGTAGCAGTTTAAAGGAAAAATGCATAGTTATTTTATGCAGAGCTTACTGCATTCCTGGGCCACTATGTCAGAACCTTTTGCGTTATATTTGATGGACTAGTTGCTAAACCTACCGTTCCTCGTCTTTAAATACAAATTTTCTTAGTTTGAGATCTCGCAGGACCACACCATTGTCATGGCAGTGCGCTACAGCAGACGTTATCTGGTAAAACAATCTGGCTGCCTCGTCCTCCTTGAGCCTTTTGCAAGTGCGAACAAATGAATGCATATCCCCATGACTCTTTTCAAAGAAAACATATGATCGTTGCTCTCCCAGCAAAATTTCGGTTATCTGGTTGATGCTCTCGTGCGCAGACAGATAAAAATAAGGTGCTAATGTTTCTTGATATCGGCTAATATCGAATACCTGTGGAAACAAAAACAGTGAAATTTGACATCCTTTCCTGCTATTCTAATTAGTAGCAATACAGATTAGAGCTAAAGGGGACCCAGTATATTCACTGCCTAACATTAAACCACAGATTCTATGGCTAAAAAACAGTTCAAATACAATGGCCCATTCATTTCTAATCCTTATGGTGCAGCTTAGAAGTTAATATCCCCTTCTAAAAGGGGATTACTGTATGAACTTCATAAAGCTTCAATGGATTCAACTGCTCAAGTTTTTTTAATTCTAACGTCTCGTTAACAAAAGACTGTACTTTCATTCATTTGCCTCTAGTGTATTATATGTTACACTGTGCGCACACGTCATTGATTCTGAATTGAATGCTGTTTCACTGGGTAATGGTGTGTGTGTGGTTTTTTTTACCTTACAAACAAGCTCCTCGCCGCTATGCAAATGCACAGCCCCAAGAACGTGGTCACCCTCTAAAGGCTCCAACAACAGATACTGTCCGATTTGAGAAATGCAATGAGAAGAGTTAGGGGTTTCAGGTGGGCTGGGTGAGCCTAGGTTCGGGCTGAAACTTTGGCTGCAGTCACTAGTCCTCACACAAGATAATTCTTCATATTCGTGATGACTCTTATGCCTCGATCGACCATACCTTACAATGCTGATTGGACTGGATCTCTGTATGTTCATGTGGCTGTAAATAGTGGTCCTCTTTAAACAAAAGATTTTACTGACAAGCGTCCACGTTTGTTGACAGTAGTTTAGAAAGGATTTGAACAAAAAAATCCACAAACTGTAGAAGCGTCTCTTGCACTTTGGTCTAGACTTGTAGGTCCAGCTGTTCTTTTTTTTGTGTGTTCCTCCAGTAGCGGCAAAATGAGTTCGTTATTTTAAAACGAGCACCATTTGTAAGAATAATGCAGACTGTGTGTTTATTGCTACAGCTTTTGTCTTTTGCATAGATGGTTCGGGTAGGTCATACAAATGCAGCTTTTAGAGAGCGAACAGCCCAATGCAATCAGAGCCCTGATTTTTGTCGAAGTGGAAAGTGGAGTGCCAGTTCACAAAACGTTTTGTTCCTGTGGTTACGGAAGGGTATTCGCCCCAGCGAGTGAATGAGTGAGTGTGGCCGAGGCGCTTACACACACAAGCCAACCAGGTGGCGACCGACAGGGGAACCCACTCAGCTCCTCAGCCTCCGACTCTAGGTGGCGTCCGATCCCCTCTGTAGCCGTCTTTCTCCCTCTTATGCAGCTGAAACAAAATAGCCTCAAACTATCATCAAACAAGAGTACGGCATTCACCCTCTCGTCATCTGCTTTGCAACGTCCAAGTGCAACTTTCAAGGAGATTTATTTTGCACGTACGCACTCATGAAAGAGAGAGACAGAGAGAATAAAGTCTTTGGCTGGCGAGTACTTTCCAATATTGGCAAGCACCTATCAGTGTGCGTATATAATAAAAGAAAAAGTCAAGGACAAAAGAGATCAATCGTATCGTGTTCCCACCGAACAGTCTTAATGCTTCCAAGCAACAGCGACGAGTCTGATAAACTCCAGATGCCTTTGCAACTGCACAGTTGTTGAGATGACGACCTTGGGATGCAGAACGTTGTTTTTGTTTTGTTTTTCTTTGGGGGGGGGATTTTTGTTTTTGCAAAAACAAAACGTCCCGGAAAGAAACAAAGAAAAAAAATCTGCAAATTATTTTTTTTTTGCACTAGATAAAAGGATGCCCGGTAGATCGGGGCCGATCCCTTTCAGCAACAGCCGACATAAGACATGATTCTTTTCTTTTCTCCTTCTTTCTTTTCCACTGCCTGTGTATTACTTACGTGGCTGCAATCTGAGTAATGTCAGCGGCGGCGGCGGCGGCAGTAGCAACAGCCCCAGTGAGTCCCATTCAATGCAATCGCTAACTGCGGTCCACTGCGCTTCACACTAACCCTGATAAGTCAATGGCCCGCTTCCCGGATCCCCAGAGCTGTCAATCACCCGGGGACCCACAGCCCATTGGCCGCCCGGGCTGTCAATCAATGCCCTTACGTCACCGCTGCCGATCAGGTTACTTGGGAAAGTAGGTGATATCCCTCCGCGCCGTGTGTAAGGAGTTTTTTTTGTTTGTTGCTCTTTGGTTTGGAGGGGGGGCAGTGAGAGCTTCATACCCCTCCAACGCCAGGGCTTTTCCGGCAGCACGGCCTCGAGGGTGCTGGTGCAAAGCCAGGATGCTCTCCCCGTGCTTTTGCTTTTTTTTTTAAAAAAATTATTATTATTATTTGCAAAACGGCCGGGGCTACGATTGGTGGTGGTGGGGGCTATTTTCTCTCCACTCTGGTATTCAATGGAGCGGCGGAGGGATTTCGGAGGGTTGGGCGAGCCGGCTCGCAACCTGATCCCCAGCAGCTGCGTCTCTTTATTCATAGTTATTCATAGAGGAGGTGAATGCTGAGGGCAAGCTTGCGCAATACACCGAGGAATGCAGGCAGCAAGAAGAAAGCCACAGGCAACAGCATTCTTTCTATTGGGTCTCTCCCCTCCTTCCCATAGTCATGCAGTTGCAGCATATTCCCCCACATATGTTTTAAGAGTTCCAGGTACATGCAATAAATCTCTTACCTCCACCCCCCACCAACACCACCCATTCATACAGTTTATTAAAAGTATTGCGTGCATTTCTCAAAAAAAGTCCAAAAGCATCCACTCCCTCCACCACCGACGCTCAGTGTGTACTCTCTACAAGATGCACTGCAGAAATCCACCGAAGATCGTCAGACAGCACCTTCCAAACTCACAATGACTTCCATTCACAAGGACAAGTGCAGCAGATAGGTGGGAACACTACCACCTTCAGGCTCCCCTCCAAACCACTCACCATCCTGACTTGGAAATATACCACCGTCCCTTACTGTCCCTGGGTCAAAATACTGGAAGTCTTTCCCTAATGGCATTGTGGGGTCAGGTGGACTGCAGCAGTTCAAGAAGGCAGCTGAGCACCACCTCAAGGGCAACTAGGGACAGTCAATAAATACTGGCCAGCCAGCAACGGAAACGTGCCACAAATGATTAATAGAAAAAGGACCAAAGAACTGTGGATGCTGGAAATTAGAAACAGAAATTGCTGGCAAAACTCAGCAGCATCGTGGAGAGAAAGCAGTCAATGTTTTGGGTCCAGTGACACTTCTTCAGAACAAAAGAATGAATGTGTATTTTAATGTTTAGTTGTGTACTGTAGCCATCGACTATATCGCTAAGATTGAATTCGAGGGTGTCCAGCAGCAATATTTATATGAGTTATTTAGTGTGTTGAGAATAGCACCCTTCCTAAAATAGGATGTAATATATGGTGTCTTCTGCGTATTCTGAAATTGCTGTACAGTTTGTTGATGCTTCTTCTGGTCTCTTTCCATTAATTTGAGATCTGCCAATATATTGTATCTTCCATTGTCTATATTGCTATGTCAGTGGGGTATCTATTTATAACTTACCCATCCAGTAAAAGGTTCCACTCCTCTGGAAATTCCATCTGTCACATATCAGTCTGTTCCATCAGCCTCAGTAGCCTTGAAATCTATCATTGAGTTTTACCTCTGGGAAACAGGCCTCTTAGCCATCATGTCTGTAATGACCATTGATTCCAATCCTGTTTTCAAGTGGTTGACCTGTGACCTTGTGTGCTATGGCATTTCAAATGTTCATCCAAATAGTTCTTAAATGTCTTGAGGATTCCTGACTCTAATACACTTTTACACAGAGAGTTCCATATATGCACAACCATCTCATTGCGAAGAAAATCACTCAAATCCCCCCTAAAACTCGTGCTCCTTACTATAACTGTGGCCCATGTTTATTGACACCCGTCCTAAGTTTCTCCCTATTGATGTCTCTCAAGATCTCAACCAGATCCTTCCTCCGCTTTCTCTAAGGAAAGCACACCTAAACTATGTCGTCTCTCTTCACAGCTGAATTGCTCCAGCTCAGGCAACATCCTGGTGAATCTCTTTTGCACCCTGTCTAGTGCAATCACCTCCTGCCTATAGTGTGGCAACCTGAACCACACACATCTGATGCCTCACCAACATTATAGACAGATCCATCATAATCTCATTGTTCTTGTATTACTGTCCTCCTCACAGTTCACTATACTTCCAAGTTTTGTGTTGTTTACAATGTTTGAAATTATGCTTTGCATCTCCAGGCCAACGTCAATAGTATGGATCAAAGAAAGCACTGGTTCTAAAACATTATCTCCAGGAAACCCCATTGTCCTCCTCTCGGAGAAACAACTGTTCACTAATTCTCTCAGTTTCCTGTCACTCGGCCGACTTGCTCATCCAACCATTCAATCATATTCCTCAATGCTGTAAATTAAGTAACAAATATATCTGGAATGAAAAGATACTTTCCGATGATTATGAAACTACTGGATTGTTGGAAAATCCCATTTAGTTCACTAAGTTCTACAGGGAACAAAATCTCATCTGACCTAGCCTACAGATGACTCCAGACCCACAACAATGTCGTTGACTGTTAAGTGTACCCTGAAATGTTCCAGTAAACCACTCAGTTCTATCAAACCACTACAGGAAAATCAATGGCACGGCAGCAATTCCTTTGACAGTACCTTCTAAACCTCTGACCTTTAACACCTCAGAGGACAAGAACAGCAAAAACAAATGGAAGGTCATAACAGCAGCAAGTTCCCCTCTAAGGCACACAGCATCCTGACTTGAAAATATATTGCTTCACTATCACTGGGCAATAATTGTACAACTCCCCTCTCTTTGAGTGTACCAACATCAAAAGAACTGCAGCAGTTCCAGAAGACAGCTCATATTCACCTTCTCACATGAAGTTAGGAATGGGGAGTAAATGCTAAACTAGCACCAGCAATGCCCACATCTATGAACTAATAACATAAACACACATATTTAGTGCAAATTTAACCTAAACCACTCAGCAGGAAAATTATGACATTGGGTCATTTCAGAGAATTACAGGATTGTTAAGGTGCAGAAGGAGATCATTTGTCCCATTTATCTGTTTTATGTCCCTACTATGTTTATTTTGGAGTATAATCAAAGGGAAATAAAATGAGGTTGGATAAATTAAGTTGAAATTGCTCCCAGCACCTTTTTGACTTAAAAGTTTAACTTCTTGCTGCTCAGCTACCAGCTCAACAATGCAAAGTCCCTCTTTATCCACCAGTCATCTTAGTTCTGTTAAGGTTGAGGTGAAACCAGATTAGGTTTTCCCTCTTCAATTCTTAACTGTTTATGTAAAAACAATCTAATAATATAGCTCCCCTACTTGAGGGCTCCATTAAAATCTCCCTTCTATTCTGGGACAACATGAGAAAAATATTACCATCTAGTAGGTAATCCTTCACTTTCACCTATATTTCTTTTCTAAAACCTTTCTTATCTAGACGATTAATACTGCTGCAGTCAGCATAGCACCAAATTTTCTCCTTTTATTCTTTTAATCTTTAAATATGGCATCCTACATCTGCACAATGTTGAAACGAAGCATCATTGCACCATCTCCAGCTTCAGATCAAATTTTTAATGACTTTCAGAAGCATAGGTCTCCAAATGTTACCTATTACTTCCAAGCTGTTACACTCTCCAGACACTTAAGATAGAGGATTGGTGTCATTTGTAATTATTTCCTGCTTTACCATATCTTCTCAGATGTTTTCAAACCTGACAGTTTTCAATCCTGGACTGCTTGGCCTTGACTTAACAGAAAAAGCATTATTTTGTACTTTTGGGAAATGTTATAGGTTTATTGGATGGATTTTTTGAGTTCTTATATTTATTGTTTCCCTTGTTGAAAACTTTAAGCATCTGTGATATGATAAAGGGCTTCTTTGCTCATTTTCATTGAAAAATACATGCATCTTACATTCTGTAGTGATTGTAACGAGGTCGGCCAGGTGGACCTCATAGAATATGAGTTCCCTGATTAGGGCTGTTAGCCTGGTCCAATCGGGGACCCCTGGCTGACAGATATAAACAGGAGTGTCAGAGGTTCTGTTCATTCTGAGAGCTGACTCTGAGGGAGCTGGATCAGTGTCAAGGACTCTCCACGTGTAAATAAAGGGTGACTTGGTGATGGGATGCCGGTCTGTTAAATTAACATAACATAGAACATAGAACAGTACAGCACAGTCCAGGCCCTTTGGCCCATGATGTTGTGCCAACCTTGTGTCCTACTCTAAGATCAAACTACCCTGCATACCCTACATTTTACTATCATCCATGTAATTATTTCACATTCCTTATTTCCCTAAATATTTCTCACAAATAGACTGAAGGGTATTTTGAAGTACTAAATAATAGATGACAAATCTTGATTCCCCCATTTTCTTTGAGCTTATTTACAAGTGTACTTGTTGAAAGCTAGAACAGTGTTTCAGTTTTACTTTCTTTTTTGACTCATTCATGGGATATGGCTGGACCAACGCTTTTATTGCCCATACCTAGTTCCCCTTGAGAAGGTGGTGGTGAGCTGCCTTTTGAATTACTGTAGTCCATGAGTTGTAGCTGGACTCACAATACCATTAGGCAGGGCATTCCAAGATTTTGACCTAGTGACACTGAAAGAGCAGTGTTATATTTTGAAGTCAGGGTGATGAATAGATTAGGGGTGAATTTGCAGGTGGTACTGTTCCCAAGTATCTGCTGCCCTCCTCCTAGGTGGAATGGGTCACGTGTTTAGAAAGTGCTGCCTAAGGGTCTTTAGTGAATTTCTTCAGTGCCTCTCGTAGGTAACACACACTACTATGAATGAACATTGATGGTGGTGTGAGTTATTGTTTGTGGATGTGGTGACAATCAAGCAGGCTGTTTTGTCCTAGATGTTGCCATAAGTCTTGAGTGTTTTTGGAGATACACTCATCCAGGCCAGTGAGGAATAT